AATCAATGAAGCGACTGTCTCAGACCTGGAATACTAGCTGTACATATGTTCATCTCACTATGAGGGGACTTGAAGGTTCCCGTGTAAAGTGCACCTCATATGTATAGGCACAGTTCATGAACATTGTACTTTTGGCTCAAGTGATGAAAAGGTCCGCAGCCGCTGCCACTTCGCGGTCACGACGGATCTTAACTTTGACTTGTTGCTTGGTGTTGTTTGTGTTGGTGTTCCGTTTTTCAACGGTTCAAGTATAGTAGGTGAGTGATGTTCGGGTGTTCGGGCATCGCTTTTAGTTTTTCTCTCGTTGTGGCCTGGGTCTTCACTTCTTTAGGGTTTCTTTGGCTTTGACATGGTGTAGGGCTTCACTACTTTGGGTTTGTCTTGCTTGGGCTTCATTACTTTGGGGTTTCTTTGGGCTTGTCTTGCTGGGGTTTTGTGGGTCTCACTTCGTTTAGGGTTTCTTCAGGCTTGGCTTCGCGCTTCACTTCTTTAGGGTTTCTTTGGGTTGTGGGCTTGAGTCTTGAGTTCTTCAGGGTTTCTTTGGCGTAGGGCTTCACCACTTAGGGTTTCCTTGCACTTGTCTTGCTTGGGGTTCGCTGGGTTTGCGGGAGTTTGCGGGTCTCACTTCTTTGTGGTTTCTGCAGGCTCGGCTTAGCGCTTCACTTCTAGGGTTTCTTTGGGTTGGTTTGGGCGGAGCGTTGCGGGCTGTTCAGGGCTGACCTCTTTCGGACACGCAATGCCGAATTCGAAGCGCTCGTGCCTCTCGAGACTTGGACTCACCCCTTGCGATCCTCTCTCCTTTCCCCTCCCACTTGCTACCTTTCGTTCACCTCCTCCTATCCCAAATTCTGAGCCACACTGCTAGGAGAGAACCAAAAGCTGGATTTCTTTGCGGCTTGAACCCTGCATGCAGGCTCTCCAGAGTCACCTCAAGGTCAGGTGCTTCTGAACATGATTTTGATCGGACTCAGCCTTGGATGGTGACCTGTAACCTTTCCCGGAAAACAGTCCAACCAGATGTCTTGGTGGTTGCTGGTCCAACCCTACATCTTTGCTGAGGATTGCGGAGGTGGAGTACGACAATGGACGGCGATATCGGATTTTGTTCAACGAAGTCCTGGGTGCTGATGACACGGCGACCACCGAGAGCGTTGGACGGGCGGTGAAGCCGAGAAGTTGCTTCACAAGCTACATCAAGCTACTTAAGGATCTCGTGGTGCACCTGGATGTTTGCGTACAGCGCTGGATTTTTGTGCAGAGTGGTTTGTTGAAACTCCAAAGATGTTCACCTCTCCACATTTTGGACCGTGCCTTTCACCGAAAAATCCGTGGCTACCGCCGTGCCAGGGCACCGTGTCGGATCCTTATATAGAGCGCCCGTGTGGAGGCCACGAGGGAACGAGTCGGACCTCGACGTTTGAGGTACCGAGGGGTTTCAGAGGATGGGGAGCCTGTCGCGATCAAGGTGCCCCACAGGGACGGGTGGCACCGGGGAGGAGGCGTCTGAACTGCACGTCGACCCGTCATTCTTCATAGATGGAGTAGCAGAGTAGCACGTCTCACTTGGAACCGCAAGCATGTTGTGAAGGTCAGTGGGCAACAAATAGGGGGACTCACGTTTTCATGAGGGTAGCATGCAAAAGATATCAATGGATGTGCCTTTTTGTGCTAGACAGTGTCCAAGAGGGTGGAGAACGAGAAGCCTCTTATGGAAGTGGAGTTTCGTAGTCGGCTTGCCAAAGTACAAGAAAATCTAAGCCCTAAGGGCATAGGCATCAAACAAAAATAAAAGGAGCATCAAAAAAAATAAAAAACAGGATCAACAAACAAATAAAAAGCGAATCAAAAAATAAATATTCCTTGATAGGCCTCTTCTGCTGCTCTCCTGGCCTTGTGGTCTGCGGGTCCTCTGGTAATGTGGTCCCCTTGGTCCTCTGGTCCACTGGTCCTTTGGTTCCCTGGTCCCTTGGTCCTTTAGTCCACTGGTCCCCTAGTCCTCCGGTCTCCTGGTCCTCTGGTCCTGTGGTCCGCTGGTCCCCTGGTATCCTAGTCCTTCTGTCTCCGAGCGCTCTGACAACGCCATGTAGGGCCTAACTTCGTGTGAACGCCGTGACTACTGCTATTGCTACCGCTACTACTACTACTACTCCTCCTCCTCCTGCTGCTGCTGCTGCTGCTGCGCTGCTGCTGCTGCTGCTGCTGCTGACTGCTGACTGCTACTGCTACTGCTACTGCTACTGCTACTGCTACTGCTACTGCTACGCTGGTGCTGCTGCTGCTGCTACTGCTACTGCTACTGCTACTGCTACTGCTACTACTACTACCCCAACCATCCTCAGTGGGCTAGAATATTACTTTTTTGATTACCTTTTTTTATTTTTTTGATCCCCGTTGAATATTTTTTTTGATTCTATTTTTGTTTTTATTTTGATCCCTTACCCAGCCCTAAGCAGATCAATATTGCAAACAATAGGCAGACAAAGAAACTATATATATATAATAATATACTGTATACACAATTGCATCGATCGACGAGTTGGGCCTGAAACCTGTATGAAATCTGTGGTTGTGTTTGCAGTTCCACCATTCTTAAGGGTCCTGACACGGGTGAAGCCGGAGACGACGAGGTGATCCCAACCTGGCGATTGGTGCTGGAGCCTGGCTGTGAGGTGCAAGAATCGAACCTCAACGAACGGTTGCCGCACGAAGTGCCGAGTGAGATCTCCTGTTGGGTCTTTGGGCTGAGATCTCCTAGGTGGAGAAGCTGGCAGAGATCGAAGCTGAGCTTCAGACGCTTCGAACCGTCGGCCGGCATCCCAATTTGGCAGGGGACACCCAGAGCGATGCCTGATCAGTTTTGCGTCAGCATCCACGTGCTACAGTAGTCATCCCTTCAAGATGTCAGCCACCAAAGCCAGGCAGAAATGTCATTGTGCTGAAATTGTAAGAGCTCGGTTTCCTGTGAAGCATGCCATCGAAGTGAGGAGTCCTATTTGCCATGGCAAATGGCTGTCATCTACCATAGGTCTACTACAGTACTTGAGGGGCCACCCTGCATCACCCTGCTCCGTCATTCCTCGATCCGTGGAGTAGGCCGTGTTTTCTTGACCTGGACCGAGGCTGGATTGATTGCGACAGCCAACATTACACGAATCGATCCTTCTGGGAAAGTTCGTCCTCACTACAAGATGGTTGTGATGGAGGCCGTGGTAGACGTGCACTTCTGTACTAGAGCAGGGTGATCCTGCTTAGGCTAAGTATTTCTTTGCTGGGAACATTTGTTTGGGCAGGTGGTCAACGGCAAGGAACTTGCAGAGCATGTTGCACTGGATGGTCCAATGCGCGAGTCAATAGCCAGAAGCTTGTTCCTCCAGGCTGCTTCAGTTTTGACTGCGGAGGGTGGGAAGAGAAACCGTTGGCATTGCCACCTGCAATTTGCACAGTCAGTCAAACTGACCCCGATGGCCTTGTGAAACTAGTGAGACCCTACCGGAGCAACCTGCATCCAGAAACAGAGGGCGTATCTATGCAAATTCCTCGAACATACAGTACTCGTTCAGACCTTGCTCGCACAGCATTTGCTACGATATTCGGACCTGTCGGAATAAGAACAACGTCGTATTCAGAAACTGTGCTGTATTCAGAAACTAGTCTTCAGAAACTATTTCGTTGTATTCAGAAATTGTGGGATTCAGAAACTATTTTGTCGTATTCCGAAACTATTTTCGCCGTATTCCGAAACTATTTCGTCGCATTCATAAACTATTTTCCTTGTATTCAGAAACTGTTTTCGTTGTATTCAGAAACGATTGCGTTGTATTCAGAAACTATGTTCCTTGGATTCTGAAAATTTGTGGGGGTGGGGTGGGGGGGCAATAAACATAGGTGGGTTGTGTACCGGAGGTGTGATTAATACAACCGTTTAGTTTCCGAATACAACCGTGACCGTCGGAATAATGTTTTCGTTTTGTCCGAGCTTTCGCTGATCATGCTGCAGATTTTGGATGGCCTTGACCATATGCACAAGCGTGGCGTAGTACATCGTGATCTCAAGCCTGAGTGCCACGGCACGTTTAGCCTAGGGATTTCATGATGTGTTTGGTGTGTTGCATCATTCCGTTTGGTGAGAAGTCTCAGGAACTTGATGGTGACCGGAGACACCGTCAACCTGGACAGTCGGGTCAAGCTCATTGACTTTGGCGTGTGGCCCTCAGGATATGCTGCAAACGCCGCAGCTGCTGCACCAGTTCCATTCGTGTCCATTTGCCGGGCAAAGACCGGCCGCGCGGGCTGAGGTCGCGAAATGCCTCCACCACGGCCCGTTGGAGACCGTCGTGGGAACGCCGTGGGGGGCCCATGACCTCTTCAGGTGGGAACTCGAATGACTAGACTAGACGTCTCAGACGTGCAAAGGTCCATTATGGCGCCCGAAATGGCCAAAGCCAAGCTTGGGAGCGCCAGCTTCTGAGCACCGAATGGCTCGACTTCTTGGGCCTGGCATTCTTAGACTTAGGCGGATGCGGTGCATGCGTCCTTTAGCTGGGGTGGCTCAGGAGCTTGTTTGGGCTGAGATACTGCACCTGAACAGTTTTTTCATTTTGTTCTGGAGCCCGTGATGCCTTTCTTGCCTAACATGTGCTTCCAACGTTTGGCTCGTTGGCTCGTGAGGAGAGGCAGTTCTTGCAGAAACCTCGCCTTCGGGGCCAGTTGCTGAGATGCTTGGGGGCTGAAGCCTAAAGCCAAACGAAGGCTTAGCGTTTCAACAGACGAAGGAATTTTGCTATTGTTTCTGGGGTTTCTACTCTAGATACTTTCCCTACGCGCCTCAGAAGTTTCCTACGTCCGCGCGCACACTTTCACCTCAAGGTGTGCCAGTGAAAGTGTACTACGACAACCACACCGACATTCAGACATGCTGACATGCACAAGCCACGATATGGTTTTGGAGCAACATGCTCTAACATAGTTGGGCGACTTTGCCATGGCAGACATCCCAACTGATGCAGTTGATCTTGTCGCCAGCGCAACTGCTTGGCAATCTTGCTGCGGTCAACAGCAATCTGCTTAAAAAGTGGAGTGATTTGTTCCAAGCATATGACATTGGTGAATCAGGCACTATCTCCTGCAGTGACTTTGTGAAGCTGGAAATTCGGAATGGACTAGAGCAAGGTGACTTGAAGAGAATCGTGAGGGCCTATCCCAGCATGCTGCGGGGGGATCCATCTTCCAAAGGGCGTATGGATTTCATGCAATTCTGCAAGACGCGCCTCAGTTCTTTTGATGAAGCTTCCAAAGGCGGTTTACCTTCGGTCCAGAGGCTCCTCGATGTGGCGGAGCGTGACCTGGCCAGCACCATGGCCGAGCGCTTCCGCATGGGGCCGCATGGAGCCTGGGAGGTCCGGACGAAGCTGAAGGAGGTCTTCCACAGCTGGAGATCTTCGACAGAAGTGCTCACTCCATGGGAGTGGCTGGCAGCAAGCAAGATCGTGGCCACGGAGTGTGATGCATCGGATGCCTTTCTCAGTGAGAAATGGACCGGCAAAGCGGCCTTTCTCATGGCAGATGCCAACAAAGATGGGGTTCTCCAACTTGAGGAGTTCGTATCTTTCAGCATCTCTGTTTTGCAAGATGTTTTTGGGAACAGGACGCAAGATGCATTGCAGGTGCTTAGAAAAGTCTGTTTGCACCAGGAACAATTTCGAGGCTTTAGCGTTCAAGTTCCTCTCTTCTTGCCACATCCACCGTACCATTTTCAACTGCCCAATTCTTCCCGCCATAGCGTGGACTGCGCCTTTTATCATGCAGGCGATTTGTCCTTACCCAGCTCGATCTCGCAAGTCGCAGATCTCTTTGCGCTCCTGAGGCTGAAACTGAAGTTAGTTGGCAAGTCCTTCTCAGCCTTTTGGAAAAGTGAAAAGCCGGAGGCCTCTCTTGAGTTGCTCTCGTCAGACAACTGCAGCCAGATCCTCCGTCACCTGTTCGATCGCATGGCCAAGGAGACGGAACCCACGGCTTCGGGTGCTGCCATTTACGTCAAGAATGTCAGGGCCAAGCCAGTACACTTGCGGCATGTACCACATCAAGAGCTGCAAGTCAACAGTCTTCCGCAAGCTGGCATGCGCTGGTGTTTGGACTGGGAATCCCATCTAGTGGGATCCAATGGTCGATTGCCCTCTAGACTCCCAATCAATTTTACCATTGGCATTGGTGACATGATCGTCGTTCAACTCCCCAATGAAGAATCAGGTATTGCCTGCACGGTCTTCATGAGCGAGGACACTGCTTTGAGCAAGCCTGTGTTGGAGAACGTGCAAGTGGTGAAAAGCAAACGTGGAAAGAAAGTGGTTCAGATGATCGCTGCCGAGCGAGAGGCGAGAGGTGCCGGTGAGGACTTGATCAAGCCTCCCAAAGAGAAGAAGCCAGCAAAGTCTCGCCCACAAAGCGCCGTTGTACGCGGACGTGTCTCGTTTGACCGTCGAATTGTGATAGTTGGGCAGAGAGAGGGTTCCGGCACCTTTTTTGTGGAAATGAGCTGGGAACACCAAGAAGAAGTTCTCAGCCACATCCATCACCTGCCGGCGGTGGAGGCATCTGTTGGCCGTTTAGGGCCTCTTCGAGTGATTGTCGAGAAGGCTTCACCCAAAGTGCCAGACTTGCAAAAAGCCAAAGGATCAATGTGGTGGACAGGCACCAAGTGGTCGCCGAAGCCCCCCAAAGGAAAGCGGCCTCGAAGCGCCAAATAGCTGCACATAAGTGATCATAAGTGTGCTGGGCATTGCTCACCGTAATTTTCTCCATCTGAAGATGTGTATGGAATGATACGGTATTCAAACGTCGCAAGATGTACAGATCAGCTGATTAGAGCTTCTTGTTTGCTTAGCGAGGTTTGCTTTGAAATTGAGAAGCAGCCAGGATCGGCACTCCTCTGAAGGGTGACAGCTGGTCCACCCTAAACCAACTGCAAGATTCAACATGGATCTAAAAAGGACTGTATGCTGTATGCCTTGCGCTTCGTTGTTTGTTTGTGTGTTTGTTTGTTTGTTTGTTTGTTTAATTGTTTGTTCATGTATGTATGACTGTACAACTCGATTTTTTTGACCGCACTCTCCGTCGGAACAAACGGACTTCGTGGGAGCCGATTGTTCTGCGAGAATGTCCCAATGGCAGCCCGTCCAGCAAGCAGGGCGCCCCCCCCTACCTTGTGCGCCCATTCCAAGGTCTGTGGATTTTAGTTCCAAGATTGATGTTTGGCCTGGAGCTCAGTGGAGCTGAGTGCTTTACCATGCCCAACGTGCCAAGCCGATCCCTGCGCCGATCCGTGCGACGGTCGGACTCTCGCCAGTCAGTCCGGCAAAGCCAGGTCCACCGGTGTGTGCTTGTACACCTGCTTGACTGGGAAGCTTCCATTCAGGACGCTTACATTTTGTTGGGTTTGTTCCACTGGCTTCTCATGGCCACGGATGATTCAAAAAAGGAATCAAAAAAGAGCGAGAGATATATAGAATCTATGAGATGAAGTATCATGCAGTATCTAGATGGACGGCCACGGTGCGCAGACGGCCGTGGTGTTTCTTGCCTTCGGCGGCCGGGGTATTTGTACTTTTGAGGTTTGGGAGAGCGTTCACCGTGATGTGTACAACATCACATGTGAGACTCTCCGGTGTTGTTCTTGAACGAGCGATTTTGTGGCCGACAGAACTTTGCGTTGGAAGACACGAAGTTCTTGAAAGACTGAGTAGTTTTTGGGGCTGCTAAAAGCATGAAACGTAGAGGCATCAATGACACCGTTGGATGCAAATATCAGAAACCCAGTCAGAAAAGAGGTTTACAACGTATGCAGGAAATCGACGGCCATCTATGAGCCGTAAGCTCCCGAGTGAGCCCACTCAGGGTCCGTGTTAGTCTGGGGACGTTGAGAGTCGGGTGGAGGGGCGGCAGAAGCACGACACTGGATGTGAGTCACAAGTTTTGAAGGAATGTAGCCTTACCCACTTGACACCACCCATGACTGAATATGGTCTCAAAAGCCTTTTTCCTTGGGGCAGGACCGAGATGGATATCATTCGGAGCTCCCCTTAGTTGCGCAGACGCGGACCGCTTGTTCATCAGATGGTTGAGATTGAGCCCGACATGTGAAATGATGTGAAATGTATGTGTCTGTGCTGGAGTTCATGGGCGATGAAAAACGCTTGATAACCACTTTCTGGAGAGGTCTGAGTATGACCGGACAGCGCTACATCACGTGTCAGAAGAAGCTAAAGATCTTCTTGAAAAAAATGCTGGAGAAGGACAGCCATGGGACTGGTCAGGGGCAATGATGAGGCCCGTTCAGAGTCCTAGCGCCAATGACCAAGTTGCTCAGTTCGGCAAGCACTCTCAGGATTGTAGACATTGAGCAACCCTGTCACACCCTGACCAACTAGATCCAAAAACCAGTAACATGGGGAGGTCTATCCTTTCATTAACCATCAAGAGGCCTTTTGTGGTACACTGGTGTGGCCGGTGTGGCCCGACACCCGATGTGGGTGCGGATGGTTCAATGACGAGGAGCGGTCAATGGTGGTCACGCAGGACGTGTCAAAGCGCTTGTCAATTGAAGAGTGCTTGGCTCATCCATGGGTGCCCTGCTCTGAAACCGACGGTTTGGCACTCAGGATGCTGGCTTTTGGTGTTTTTTCTTTTTTTTCTCAGATTGTTTGGCACTTGTGCTCGTAGAAGACAGCTACACATTTGGCATCCTTTTGCTATGGAGTCATTCAGCGGCGCAGGGGCATGTCACTTGACGACTCATAGCAATTTCAAGGACTTGAAGGATTTTGGACCACCGAGGCTGCACTATCGATTGGGACAACCTTCCGGAGGATGAATTTGAGTATGATCCACTGGGATCACTCTAGACAAAGACTTGTTGCTTTCTCCGGACAAAAGCCCGTGCTTGCAGATTGTACCGCTTGAACATGCTTGAAGCTTTCTCCTTGGGAAATCCATCGTTGAACGAGTTCAGAGATGTTCTTTCCAATGTGTAGTGTTGCATCATTTTACAATCTTCCGGTTTACATCATGTTTACATCTTCAAACAGCTTGGACTTGCCAAACGATGTCATCGAGTCATCGCCCTGGGTCCCTCTGTCCGATCTGTTCCAGGCCAACGGATGGTCGGTGCCTCCAGCAGCCAAGGCGAGACCTGTTGCGGCCCATCAACTCCACTGCCTTCTAATGTAGACTCTTGATGCATAACCCCTCCCATTTGGATGGAACCTCTTCATATGGCGGGGGGTTATTATTCAAAATTGACTCCTCTTTTATTTCCAAAGGGGTGAGATTGATCAACTCGAGGTTGTCAAACGCTTTTTCACTGAAAATTGCACCCATTCCACCAGGAAAGGACCTCTGAGGTGGAACACTCCAGGTTTTGTGCCTCCCATTTTTGGGCACAGATGGTCTGAAATCTATTTTTTGGTTCTGAGCTGGCTCGCTCAGCGAGGTTGGGAAGTTATGAAGGTGGACAACTTGAGGCTCACGGCGTTCGCTCTAGCACGTGCGCTCATAGCGCGTGCACGTAGCGCGTGCCCGTAGCCTGTGCTCACTCCGCTTGAACTGCATCTCTTAACCTGGGAGGTTGATGAGTCTGGCGAACCGACCTTCAGGTTGGGGTGAAGTTCTTTTTCGCACAGGAAGCGGGGCTTGTCCCCTCAAGATGTCAGCACCATTCAGCACAGATCCTGATGAATATATATCTGGTGAATCATCAAACAGGCCCCCAAATTCGAGGTGGATGGGATATGGATGGTTTCTCCCGTAGCTATTCCTGTAGAGAGACATGTTATTTGTTTTTAAATGAGGCCTCCACCCGGTGATGGCTTCTTGGTCCTCGACTTTGGTCATGTGGCAGCCAGCGGCGGGTCAGCAGCTAACACAGGTGTGCACGACTCAGCCGAAGGCTAAACTCGCAAAAGCTCGCCATGTTTGTCAATGGAGTCCAACTATACCAAGGTGAACCTACAATTGCGTGGGGCACAGGTGTTGGGCACGACGCCCGGCTGCTCAGTGAATATTGACTGAGTTCCAGAGCGCAGATGAAGCGCGTTTCCATCATAGTGGGGAGAATCGCACATCCACACTGGCACAGGCCCGTCAAGGAGCCAGAGGCGGCCTCGACCCTGGCCTGAGAACTTCGAAATCATTCGATTTCACCGTGTGTCGGCCGATGCTCTTCGACGGCCCAGACGGCGCCGATAGCCTGGGTGGGTGGTTTCGTACTGGCTTTCCTCGTTCGGTGCTTGTGCACTATCTTTCCATAGGTCATGGAGTGTCCCGGATGTTTTGGATCGTTTTCCTCCGGCCTGTTCATCGTTCAAAGCTTTTTGGCTCAGTGCAGAAGACACGCCGCCCCGAAACATGCGACCTTGAGAGACAAGGCCACTTTGCTTTTGGTTGCATTGGCTGTGACGGACTTGCAGCTAGATTAACCTCCAATTTGTTTTTGGGAATTGACCCAGTGTCTCAGGATGGGCCAGCAAAATTGCGGCTGTGGACCTTGTGACAAGGAGACATGCACTCCCATGTTTGTGAGCATTAGTCTAGGCCTAGGCAGAGCATGGAGCCACAGAGCAAAGTGAACTTGTGAGGTGGAGGAGGACGGCTCAGACGGGAAGGTGGATCAGATTGGCAGATCCGGGTATGCTTTGGACAAGGTGTTGGGATGCCGCTAGTTCGCTTGGTATGTCCTTTGGGGACTCTTTGTGGCGTGAAGCAAGCTCCGGGTGACTTGTCAGGCGGCAGAGGAAACCATCTTTGAGCCAATTGGCACGAGAGGCAGGGGTCAAGTGGACCCAAGCCTGGTGTGACACTCAACAAAGTGAAATGAGAAGGTTTGCTGGTCTTGCGATTGCGTCAAAGCACCGCCACCTGGTTGCTCCCTCCTCGCTTCCGGCCTATTAACTCCCTTCCCAGGTGGATGCTGTCGCCACATCCTCCAAGGAAGCGAGGTCGGTGCTCCGAAAAGCGTGGGGAAAGCTCAAGGGCGAATTCGGCGTGTGGCCTGGCGGCAGTGATCGGGTGACGGTTGGGTGCCAACTCAACAAATGAGAGGTTTTCCCTCTCCTGGCCGGGTGGGAGAGAACCGACTCGAAGCGGTCTCTTAGACCGGCGCTTGGTGGTGGGTTGGTGGTTTAGAACTGGGTCAGAAGTGGATTGCAAGTGTCCGTGGGGCAGTAGAAAACGATCCTATTTAGCGGCACACCGGGCAGCTTGATTTGCAGCAAACCAGCCCAGCATCTAATCATCTATGACTCTGTGAGAGCATTTTTCTTTCCAGAGAGTTTTCATCTCGAGGGATGCAGGCCACTAGCTTATCATCGATCCTAAAGCTGCGGGTGGCCACGCTGAGGCAAGTGAACATTTGGGGAAGCCTAGCCATGGGATCTCGAGGTGGGAGCCAAAGCTGCGAAGCTTCACTCCTTGAGGATCTGGCTTGTGAGGCCAAGGCGATACCAAGAAGAAGGAGAGAGAGATTGCCAAAAGCAGCCTTGAAGCTTCTCGGAAACAAACCTTGGCTGAACCGGTCGCCTCGAGTTTTCTCTTTTATTTGGGAAGCCTCGACCCGAGGCTTCCCTGCAGCAGTGCGAGACAAAGCCGTTGGAGGCGCGAGCCGCGCCTTTCAAAAGGAGATTTCACCATGAGTGCGAAACGTTTGGTCAACGAACTTCCGCACAATTGCCGCACAACAAAGTTCAAAACTTCT